TGAATAACCTTTAAAATAGAAGTAATTTATTGAATAATTAAGCAAAAATTTTAAGTAAAAGTTGAATTTTAAAATCTTATACATAAAAGAACGCATTTCGAGGGTATTTAGATTATTTATTAAATAATATATGATATTAGACGTGATTTATTGATGAATTAAGCAAAAATTTTCAACAAAAGTTCGATTTTAGTTCATATACGTGGGTGAATTTTGACCAAAAAAACGTAAAAACACGTTATAAAACAAAATATACTCTCCCTTTAACTAGCGCGAGCATATTTAGACCATTTATTAAGTAATATTTGATATTAGACGTGATTTATTGATAAATTAAGCAAAAATTTTCAACAAAAGTTCGATTTTAGTTCATATACGTGGGTGAATTTTGACCAAAAAAACGTAAAGACACCATAAATAATAATTTTTTGGCAAAAATAAAGTAAACGGGAGCTCTGTGTATCACTTACTATTTATTTTCAACAAAAGTTCGATTTTAGTTCATATACGTGGGTGAATTTTGACCAAAAAAACGTAAAAACACCATAAATAATAATTTTTTGGCAAAAATAAAGTAAACGGGAGCTCTGTGTATCACTTACTATTTATTCTATATTATCAGTTATCACTTATCGATGAATTAAGCAAAAATATTTGGCCGAAGTTCTATTTCGGTTCCCAATACGATCGACAGGTAGCTATACATGGGTTTTTTTCGGGAACCGAAATCGAACATTAGGACAAANCAAAAAGAAGCAATCGATCCTCTAGTCATGAAACTGACTCAAGTAAGAAAATGAAGAAACCACCACCACCTCCTCCATACAAAAAACTGCCATTCATAGGTCGTATGCCGTTGTTCAAAAACAAAAAACCAGAAGAAAAACCTGAAAAAGAAATAAAGAAAGAAGATTATGACCAACCTCGTCAAACGCGATTTCAACCAGGTAACTTGGCGCGGGCTTTTATCCCTGATCCGGATGTCGTTTGTTTCCCCAAATTATCGACAATACCGCCAATAATGGAGCCGCCTCCGCCACCTCCTTCTCTAGCGCAACCGCGCGTACCGTCACCTCCAAAAATATCTGAAAAAGCTAACGATGATGATCGGAAGTCAAAGAAAAGTGAAGAAAAGAAGTTGGGAATGTCTCAACCAAAAGCAAATGGACAGCAGGAGCAACGAACTGAGGGAGAAAAGATAGCCCTACCACCGCCTTTCCCAACGGTGACTAAACACGGAGACCATTTACCCCAAGATTTTCAGGTATTTACTATTTTAATGAATTCGCAATGGTAATTGGTAACTTTTTCTATTTTAACTGTTTATTGAACAATTAAAGTTGAGTGCATAGCACTTTACACATGCCGTTAAAGTTAAAATGTAAAAAGTAATTGAAATTGTTTAATTGAGTACATAAAAATTAGCAGTTTTTAATTAAAAATTCTGATTAAATGATAACGTCCTAGTTATCGAAAGTAGGACTAAGAATTACATGTTTTATTAGTCCACTACTTCCAGAACATTCTATCATGACTATTTATGTTTACAAGGAAATTTTCATTTGTTGATATCTTTTAAACCGCTAATAAAGTCGGATGCAATTTTGTAAAACCGTAGCCAAATAGAGCGCCTTTCTTTTACAAACTGTAACGGAAAAGTAAAATTTTTGACCATTTTTTCCGCGGTTAACTGAGTGATTAACAAACACACCGACAAAACGGTAGAACAGTTAATATAATCAGAACTTCGTTAAAGTTAGAGTTCTGCGATTTTACCTTTTTTATGAATATAGCGCTAACATTTGTTTCATAGTAATTTGTCGGAAAATGTTAACTTATTCTTTCGCGCAGGACGCTCTTAACTTCATTTATCCCGATCAACAGCAGGGTTCTGACATGTCGATGTCATACGGCTCCTATTCTAACATGGATTACGACTTGATGTACGGACAGCATTCAATGTATGACTATAGTGCGGACGTGAATGCCATGGACATGGGGACCGAGGTACCTCCTTTACCGCCTCCTCCACATATGATGCCACCTCCGCCTCCTAGCGTCGAGCACACGATGCCACTACAACCGCCTCCTCTTCCTCCAGATGACCCCAACGATGACTTGGCATTGCTAGGAATAAGTGCTGACGATATGGCGGCTCAAATGTTTTGAATTAATTTTGGAAAAAAACTCCGTAAATAATCTTGATTATTTTTTTGTTTTCTGTAGTCTAGTTAATACGAGAAAGGATATTTCTTTTTTCGTAAATGTACAATATTGTACTGGCGATCTTTTAAAGCGTTTGAAATTGAATGAAATAATTTACATTAACGAGGTTACTTGTTTACGTCTACTAATTTTGTGTATTTTTGCAAAATGAAAACATAAGCCAGTGTAGCTTTAGTTAAACAATTATTACATATTCCATAATTACTTATAGCAAATAAAGTCATTTATTAATTTTAGAAGAATTATTTTGAGCTTTTTTCGCGATTATCTTCCTATAAAAATAAACGCGCTGTAAGTAAAGGATTTTAAAAATACAATGCTAAAATTTAACTTTCAAATAATGTGTAGGAAAGATTATATGATTATCGGAATATAACTTTATTAGAAATAAGGTATTAACAAAACTTGCATTTCTTTTAAAATAAAATTGCAATATATTTTTTAGAAAATTAATACAAACGGCGCTAAATTTAAAATACATAAAAAATGCTGTCAAAATAAAACTTATTAATGTAACTGTAATGCGTGCTGATAACATTTGATCAGTAAATTAAAATTATTCTATCGCATCTTCAAACAAGTAGGACGGCCATTTTTTGAAGGTAATTATGTTTCTTGTTTTAAAATTACTGGTATCAGAGCCTTTCCATTCGTTATCAGATTCTGTACATCCGTTATCGGAGTAAACAGATTTTTCGTCATCCCAGTTATCTACTTCGTTGTAATGATTACTACTTGTACAATGTGTATCTTCATAAACTATGTCGCTAGACGAATCACTATATTCGGATAAACTAGCGTCGTCTTCAGTACAGTTGCCAACTGCTTTGGGGCCATCAGTTCTGTTTTCGAAGAGTAAATTTCTTAATGCCGTTTTTTTACTTTCGTACTCGTATAAACTAAGATACACCATGTCTTTAGTAGAAAAACAATTAACTTCTAAATCTATATACTTCAATGAATTTGTATTTACTTCACTAAAGATGTCTAGTTCATTATGATACAAATCTATATAACCAAGATTAGTTAATAAATGTAAATTGTATAATGTAGTTATCTGATTGTGAGCAGCTTTTAAAGTTTGTAAACTTCTTAATTTTGTAAAGTTCTTTGGAAGTCCTACAAGACGATTATTTGACACATCCAACGATTTTAATTTTTTTAAATCACATAAGTGTTCCGGTAACCACATTAAACAATTTTCAGAAATTTCTAACTCTTCCAAAGAAGCGAGAGAATTAATTTCCACAGGTAGCATTGATAATTGTAGTTGGCGTAGTCTAAGAACCGTTAAGGTATTACACCATAATGGTTTATTGAACAATGCATCACATTTGGTGAATCTATTTAAATTAATACTATCTCTATTATTGCTAATATTAAGGCTCTTTAAAGTTCTAACTGATTTCAAAAACTTAATGTCATCATCAATTAAGTAACAGTTTTGCAAATCAAGTATTTTCAATTCATAATGACTAATTTTATGAAAATTTGCACTTGAGAAATCTTGTACTTTATTGAAACTGTAGTAAAGTTCTTCTAAATTGAAGCTCCTTACATTTAGAATCCACTCGGGTATGTCTTTCATATCATTGTGTTCTAAATTTAAACAACATAATCTTTGAACAAATGCTGGCTCGTCAAATTTCTGTAACTTATTCCAAGACAAGTCTAATTTTTCCAGCTTTCTACAGTTGATTAATGTTTCTGGCACTTCAAAGAAATTATTATGCGATAGGTTAAGTTCCTTTATGTTAAATTTGCTCAAACAACACGGCAATGTATTTAAGTTACATCCACAAAGAGTTAATGAAACGATCGTTTTCAATTTGGAAAATCCACTTAAATGTTTAGTCAAAAAACAATTATAGGGACTGCAAAAACTGTTATTATTAGAATGCTGTTTCACTTTGTCGACTTCACATTTTTTACCGATGATATGCACAGTACTGGTTTCAATTTTTGAGAATTTTATTTTTCTTTTTAAAAAACTGCTATTATAGACTTGATTTTCTAACAAACTCATAATTAATTATTTTAATAATTTCAAACCTTTTTAAGGTTATGGCAGTTGCCGTTACTGCAATCGTGAACCATAGATAAGCATAGAACATAGGCATAGAAGGAACAATTCTTACCTATGAATTGTCTATCTATGGAACAATTAATGTTCACTCATTGAACCAAACCACAGATGTTCCCCCAAACTTCAATGTGCTCACTTAATATTAATTTGTCTATGATTATCAATCCACCTATGGGATTTATTGAGGTTACAGTCCTAAGATATTTTTAAAATTTTATTTAATATTTGGTGTTGATGTTGTTGATTTAAAGTGTGTTTTAGCTAGTATACGTAATTCGAGTATTTTCCTTGTCCATTGCTACGTTGTTTCTACAGTTAGATGATTGAATGAGGGCATATTAAAGTTTATTTGGAAGCTACTAGTCCAACTATACAATGGTGTTATTCGTTCAGTTTGTTTTTCCCTCATCTTTTCTTGATCTTGGTGGAACGTCATGCATTTGATTTAGGTAAGAATACATGCAATAACTAATAAATTTAATAAAAGCAGTATTCGTTATTAAACTATCATTACCCCTGTTTCAGATCTCCGCTGGAACCCAATATCCATAATAGAAGGAACACATGTTAGTAACAAAGTAACTAAATGGTAATAATGTATTTTTACAGCTCTTTCTATTAATAGTGCCTACTTCAATTACTGATGTGTATTCGTGGTAGTAAAATCTAAGAAATATAAAATTTAGGAGCTTATTGATTAGTTATAAAAAATTTTAATAAGTATAAGGATCTTCTTTTATCAAAATAATTTAAAATAAAATTGAGAATTGCATACACTAGAGACCTTGTTTAAATACCCACAATTATTTTGAACAGATTTATACTTATTATATATTTACTGATTATTTTATATTTGTATTTCATTACATTACATTTTTTGGTTTAGTTTATGATCAAAGTGTAGCTAAAACAATATCCTTTTTGTTTCAGCATTCCCAACAATTTGCTACTGTGAGAGCATTTTAGACTGCACTTACTTGTAAAGAAAGGTAGGATTTTATTTAACATGTTTTCATATCANAACACTGTTCGTGATTGCTAGTCCTTCATATAGACAACCCACTGTACTGTAAAACTATTCTCATCGTCAATCAGCACTAGCAGTTATAATTCCTTTATTAGAATTTCACTTTTCAAAAAGAGGGTTAGAATCATTTAAATTCAAAAACAGAATGGCACATGGGACATAGGAAGACGTGTAATTAAATTACTTGTTTTTAGGTAGGAGGGCTTAATGTGTTGGCATTCATTATGAAGCTGCAAAAATACAAACTGAATACATCCCCTAACAATATTTTTTTCAAAAATCGACACTATAGCTTCCTTTTTATCACAGAAGAGGATCTAGTAGTCTCTTTCTATGCCTCGAAACAATTCGTAACTAACAAATACTGTAATAATTAAATTAATAGATTATTTATAATAATTTTTAATCTTAATGTCCAATTTAATATCTGTAATGTTATGATGTTATTACACACTTACCCTGGCCGTTACACTGTAATTTTTTACAGTAAAAGGACTTCCAACCTCCGGATTACTACTACAATCATTTAATGAGCAATTACACATGATTAATCTAGAATTTATGGTCCTATTGGAATAACGGTCAGATTAATTTAAATTAAATTAAAGGTATACAAAAATTAGGTATAAATTTGCTAAAACATTGTAATACGCTACAAACTACAAGGTTATGTTCTCACACCATAGAATAATCTCACATAATACAAAAACATAGATTGACCATGGTGAAGGTGTAAACTCATAACCATTGACCTCTATAACATATAATAAGTCTCTGATCATCGATATCGATGTAACTAAAGACAGACAATAAATTTCATATAACAATTCTTATGCTTATGTAATTATTCTAACATGAAAAGCTGTAATTAGTCAATTAATTATTTCTAAGCCGGAAAAGAAAGAGTAATATTTTTACCAAATTGATTTGGTTCAGTTGATTCTATTTCCTAATAAGAATAAGGAAGGCAATTCAGTACTTTTGAAAATACCTTATGAGCCTACACAATATCTATGAATGTTAGTTTACATAATAAGGTATTTGATAATACTTATTAATTAGTGAGGTTACATCACCGTATACAAAGTGTTGAATTAATATAATATTCGTGAACATATTCTAAAAAGGGACATGACTGTCGGAAAAAACACTGGACCTAAGATTGCTGAAAGCCCTTTGGATTTATTTGAAGGCCATGTAGAACAACCACTGTTAAATAAATTTTGGTATCCAGTTACTGGCGGAATTGTTGGTTTTGTAGCTACTTGTACTGGAAATTGGGTAGCTAAGAGACCAATTATGAGCGGTACTTGCTATCCTACAATAGTGATAAGAAGCTGTTGAAGTTAAATAACTTTTTAGGTGTTCAAATACATGCCCTTATGACAGTAGCAGGAGTGTTTTTAGGAAACTATTTCGACAAATTGAGAGATGAATATTTTGCTGAGAAAGACGCTATAATGCGTCATTACATATTATTACACCCAGAAGACTTTCCCAAATTCGGTAATTTGTTTATCTTTTTATTGTTTGTTTGCCAGTGACTAGTAAAGTTAATTTTTATAGAACGAAGAAAGTACAGTGAAGTCTTGGAAAAATGGTACCCAGCTCGTTAAGATCAATACATGTAATTTGTTTTATCATCTGTAAATAAAGACTATCAGTAGAAAGTTGCATTTCATTTTTTGAAAAAAAAAAACGAAATCACAAGTAACTGGTTGATAACATGAATGACCTATATTCCAAATACAAGGTCTTTAAAGAAAGAAAATGGTGAAGTGTCAATAGTTCAAACCTTATCTTTTAAAAATAAACATTACTTGAAAGAATTATATTACTTAAAATTTTAGTTTAAGCTGTATTCAATTGTAGTAGTGTTGTTGGGATGGAGAATTATACATCTGATAGTAGTGATAATGATAGCGCTAATAAAACTCTGGATTTTTCGTACTTGTCGCTTGATGGTGACAGTTTTACAAAATATTTAGAAGACATATTAATTAATAACAAGAAGACATACGATGAGATTGAGAACATATCTATACACCATAATCACTTTGAGCTATTCCCAGAACCTCTGCTTAAATTTAACAATTTAAAAACTTTGGATATTAGTAGCAATGGACTTACAGTTTTGCCCGATATATTTAAGTGTTGCAACTTAACAACCTTTACAGCAAGAAATAATAATCTGACAAACGAGTCATTACCGAAAACGTTCAGTGTAAATTACAGTTGTCGAGAATTAAATCTGAATGGTAATTGTTTCACAGAGTTTCCTGAGCAGATACTGGATTTGATCAATTTAAAGTATTTATATCTCGGGGGAAATAAAATAACGTCTATCTCACGGAATATTGGAAAGCTTAGCAAGTAAGTATACTTTTTGTACAAGAATAGTAAATATGGAAAGAAAATATAAAAATTAACGCAAGCATTTGTCGAACTATGATGTTATGCAGCCTTCAAATATTATCGATGGGTGGTAACGCATTAACGGAAATTCCCGCAAGTGTTGGTCAGTTGAAGATGTTACACGCTTTAGTATTGTGCGATAACCAAATAGAATGCCTTCCATCTAACATAACTCAATTAAAACATTTGAAGTCTTTATTATTACACAAAAACCATTTAAGAACATTACCTCCGGAGATAGTTCTTTTAAAGAACTTAACTGAAGTAAGTTTTTGCATTTAAATGAAATGCGTATAAATTCATTAAAAACAATTTTTATTTCTAGTTAAGTTTGAGAGATAATCCTTTGGTGGTTCGATTTGTAAGTGATATGACTTATAATCCAGCATCCCTATTAGAATTAGCGGCGCGAACAATTAAACTTCACAATTTAAAAATAAAGAAATGGGAAATTCCGCAAACATTAACTGCCTACTTGGAGAGTGGTCATAGGTGTGTTAATCCTAATTGTCAGGGTAAGATTTATAACATTTTACATATTTAATTAAAAAATTCATATGTTCATGATGCCTCTACGAGTATAAAGCTATATCACATCAAATTGCTTCATTTTAAGTAATTAATGGAAATTATCTTTGAACTATTTGAGTGACATAGTAATCGATTCCAAATCAGAATTTGAATAATTAGAAATTCGAACTTTAGTATACTCCTATTTTCTTATAAAAAGCCCTTGATGGTAATAAGCAATTTTTTACTACTGGAAGTCTGTTAACGGATAAAAACATACATGTGAAATTGCAGGAGTGTATTTTGACAATAGGGTGGAACACATAAAATTCGTCGACTTTTGTGGAAAGTACCGAATACCATTGTTACAATATTTGTGTTCTTCAAAATGCATTCAAGGAGGAAGCTGTTATGATGTACAACTATCGAAAAGCCATATGATGCGTAAAGTTTTACTGGGTTAAAAATTTATAATTGTTACGTTCTCCAACCAATATTATTCTGTCTTAAGTAAAACTAAATAATAAAGGCAATTGTTCTTATCAGTTTTAATTATTTTAAATAGACTGCAGTTTTCATAAACATACATTTCAAGCATGAAATATTTACAGCTTTCAACATCGATCTAAAAAACAATCTAAACGTTAGTGAAATGACGCACTAAAGTTAAGTGTCTTAGTAATTAATATTTCCTGCTCGATACATACACAGAATGATAATTATCGTAACTTAACTGCAATAAATAACAACCAAAATAATAATCTTAACGATTTCAAATGATTATTTACAAATTTACACTAATTATTATTAAAATTCGTCAGAAATCGAAGAATATTTGGATTAGCGTCCGTAAAATACAATTTTCGGGGCGATTAAATCACCTGAGGTCACCAGCACACTTAAGATTAAAGGTAGATTTAAAACACTTACCAAGGAGGAAAAAATCGCGACTTGACACATTGTGAAGTATACAAGTGATCTCAAGTTTGCTGGAAAAAATTACGAAGCGGAATTTACCTGAAATGGTAATTATTTTAAGAAAGTTTCGTAAAATTACAACTGAAAATTACTGTTTGGTAATGGCGAAATCTAGTTATTATTTTTATTTTCAATGTTAAAGTAAACTTTTCTTATGTGTCTACTAAAAGTTAAAACACTTGCATATAACTTCCACAAAATTTATTGTCCCTTTAATATGTTTCACCACTTTTTGGCTTCTTCAGAAGTTACAATTTTTTTTTCAAAGTGGCAAAACATGCTAAATAAACAACAAAATTTGTTGAAATTACAAACGTTTTAATTTTCAATTTCACATGAATTTCCATCAAATAAAAATGGATTTAATTAAGCACATACTTATTAGATTAGAAACAGAAATTAACATTTTACCATCTTATTGCCAATATTTCTAATATGAGAACAAATTATTGGAGGTGAACCAATCTCAAGTTTATTCTATACAGAAGTGTTTTCCAAAACGTATGTATTGTGAAACAGTAACAGTAACTTCAATTTCCAAAAGAATATTGAATGTAGTAGTTCACCATAATAAAACAAGAGTGTCCTCTATATACATTTATTCTTGGTGATCTATGTGTAGGTACTGCCAAAAGTACCATATATGTATAATCTAAGATAAATACACTTACTGTTAAAACTATACAACCCAAAGCTACATGCATGTATGCTTCCAGAAATTGAACAAAACAAGGATTACAATAAGTGCATTCATAGAATGCAGGTGACTTTTACTACGATTCCAAGTTTGAGTTTGTTACGATCACTTAATAAATAGGTAAATATTGTATATTTACTAGAACACCATCAATAATTTAATTGAAATGTGGAAAAAGAAAGGAAATTGTCAAGTCACTCTTTACACAATATGTATGACTTTTTAGAAGCAAAAGAGATTATTTATTGAAACTACTTGCATAAAATTTAAAGTTTGCTATTTTAATATAGTAACTGGTTGACTTAAAAGATACTGCTTCGTGAAACATTCATTTTTAATATACGTAAGCCAAAGATGCAGTATCTTTGAGTGTTCTATTACTACCAATTAGTTTTTTTTTATTGGACCTGCAACAAATGGCGATATGTTTCATTATTTTTCTAATAAATATAACAGAAGATGATAGTTTTGAAATAAGCAAAAAAAAATTAACTTTAAAAGACCTGGGTAGATAACTTATTTAAAAAACATTTTTAGTTGGATGTAAACAAGAAAATAAATACTTTGATTCCAATTTTGATTGTGTGAGGCTAACAATCGGAATTCAATGAATTAACGAGCAGCAAGCCCATAAGTAAAAATGTGATAATAACATGCGCATATATTAAGTATGTTAAAAATGTTTGGCCAAGTGCACATATCGGAACTCTAGTCGCTTTTTTAAATAATTTATTGTAATTATTTAATTAATTAAAAGTAGTAGGCGCGCAAAGTGATAAACACCACATGCTCTTGCTCGCAGCACTAAGTTAGCTAGTCCTCTATTTTATAATTATTATTTTAACAATTGAAACATTTCCCTCTAAAGCTGAAGCGACGCAGTGAGAATGGTTTTCACGTTCATGTCACCAATCATTAGAAAACACTCGACGAAATTATTTCGAACGTACACTAAACCAATTATTCAACACTGTCCAATGAACAATTCCGTTCCTTCCAGTCACTACCAGGAAGTTACCGTTTAATACGATAGTAGTAGTAAAAACAGTAAAGTGAAGTAGGAGTAGTAGTAGTAGTAGCAACAGTAGTAGTAGTTGTAATAGCAGTAGTAAACAGTGGGAATCATCCAACACACCAGAATATAAATAATATAAAATTTAATCCCTTAAAAAACATTTTATAATCAATGTTAAAACCACTTACATAAGACTCAAATCAATTAATTAAAAGATCTACTTTAATTAGTTACACTTTTCTAAAATTATACATATGTATGTTATGTGTACACGTGTCATCTTAAAAGGTCCCTAATGGAGATAAATATTGTTATTTATATACCTACTTCTAATATTTAATTGTATACCATGTTTCCGTGGCAATCTTTCATAGGTATATTTGGAAAGAATTACTCGAATTGAGGGGGGGCCTTTCTAGATGTATTTGCGTACAGTCGTCAGAGCTAAACAACGTATCACTGATCGTTTCCGTTAGAATTCCATTTGGATAGTACGTCACCGAGGTTGCGCCCGCATTTCTCTAATCCGTCCGCGTTACCCAACCTACCCAACAACAGCGAACGAAACATAATGAAAACAAAACTGAAGAACAAAAACAATACCACTAGTTACGATGACAACAACAACGACGACTAAACAAAGAAAAGAATATTAAGACTCTGCCTCAAATCTTAAGATAAGTTTGGATGCCAAACAAATCCTTGTTTCTGTTAAATTCTCTTTAAGCGCCGATTGCCTGTTTGTTCTTCGCATTTCAATTTTTTTCTCTTCTTTATTTAGACATTTGCTCTCTAATTTTCATGTCGATCGAATGACAAACGAAAAATGGAAGAGAAGGAACGGAAGCGATTCAAAATTTTGAAAGCGCAACCACCAATTTTTCATATAAAGCCGACTTTGCAACTCTTACACAAATTATTAACATCATATACGGTTAATAATAAAAATTAAATAACGTAACCTCGGTGGACAAGAAAAGTAACTAAAAACAATCATAGATGGCATTAAAATACAAAATGCCGGCTTATGAACAATTATATTCTGTACAATACACTATTTTTTATTACTCTACAGTACAGCTGTCCAATCAACAATCTCACATTAATCACTTTGCTACATGGGTTGCGGCGTTTGGGACGACCGACAGTATGCGTCATCAGGGTGAATGAAAAAACGATAAGTTTTATAGGAGAAAGGAATGGCGACGATGCACGCGTCCGTTTTAACCAAACGCTAGCGCGCCTGCGCAGACGAATGGAACGGTTGCGGCTGCGACGCCAAACCACAATGCATTCTATTAAACTACCTATGCTACCCCCGAAGCAGTCGCTTGAGCGGGGGTCGACTGTGGTTCATTCGTTTCGGCAGAACCGGCGGCCGCACCCCCGCCTTCTTGTGGACTGTTACTCGACTCTTGATTCCGTGGTACCAATATACTATTTAAACTGGGCTGTATGCTTAACTCTGTAAACAGAATGAAATCGGTCAAAGCACATCTTATCTTTACACATTCATTTGCACTTTTTCAACGAAACAAACCTATCATATTTTTTACAGTGTGCAAAGTACACATCGGCACGTACTTTGGAGGATTCGTTGGGATTTTTTATTAGAAACATTATCGTGCAATGAAAAATAACTTCAACATGTCACAATCAATGCGACTATGCCAGCGTAGCTCTTGAAACAATTATTTTTCATTAATATTTTTATCAATTCTGGTTTCAGAAACCAAATATTCAATACGTGCCTCAGTACACTCGTTAATATAGGACTATAGCGCAGCTTAAACGACACCAAATTTTTAAATATCGAATGTTATGCTTACAAGATTTAAAAGCTTTCTGTGTTTATTTTGAAAGATCTGAATTTAAACTTTTATTAACCCATCGGTTTTTACCCTAGTATAGTAATTTTTATCCATTGTGCTACGCAATAGACCTACAGAGAAAAATTGTTTGCAAAAATGCCATCTGTTGAAGTAAAATGTGTTACATTTTATAAGCTTATTATAATAATGGAGAACGCTGCAATAAATACTTCTCTTACGGACTTACCTTGCTCGGTGAAGTTAAAAAGTGGCGGTAGGGGATTTCCATTAGGCAGAAGCGTGTTTGGTTCTCGAAGTTCGTTAAAGAAGGGATGTGCACATGCTTGGAGGGGACTAATGCGGGATGACGGAGTGTATTCTAACAGTCTGGCTACTAATTCAATAGCCTCGGGAGGTGTACGAGCTCTAAATACCTGTTAAAATGAAGAATAATATTATTTGTACCTCGAAGACTGGCGATTATTATGAAAAGGTTTAACAAATTAGTTGGTTAATACAACACCCATAGAAGAATTGATGAATTAGAACAGTATTAGCAACAAATACAAAACCCTGAAAATATTTTAAATACGTATGATTTATAAACAGAAGTATTTCCGTTTGTGTGCATAACGGTCAGTCCGCATAAATTAACGCAGTTTCTCATCAATCCCTCGTTTTTACTTAACTTTCTGAAAATTAGTGAACGAAAGTTATGACAGCACGACTTGCACACACCAGTTACACACTTACGCGAATCTTTTGATGTTCAGTACTGCATTTGGGATGTGACATTCGTGTCAGCAATGACTGCAAACAGACGACCATACTTCAGTACATTAAGTACGACGAGGGGGGACACATCGTCAATGAAACTATGTTAGTTCGTCAGTATTGTGCTTATTAAACTACCAATAAGTAAATAAAAGAAGCAAACGTAACAGATCGTCTTGTTTGAAGTTGTTGCGACAGACACACTGACAGGGTCGCTTCGATGATCAACTTTTCCATTAACATTAAAGTAAAATTCCAAGTCATAATTAGTTGGTTTTGTAATTACCTTCATTTACCAGCAAATAGTTGAAAGAAAGCGATCCTGTCATCAAATTTCTTTTGTAATGGTAAATGATGAAATTATGGGAATGATACGAACACACTAATGCAACTAAGAAAAATGGCTTAGGATAAAACTTTTTTCAATTAATAAATTACAACAGAATTGCACACACTATTAAAATCATGTAATTTTATTACGAATTTAAAAATTTAAAAGGGTTATTGTGAAGCATGACAACATATAACATGTAAAAAGCAACATATTATAAAACATTAATACATATAATAAAAATCCATTCGTTCTGAAATATCAAAAACGTCTTTCTCTTAGCTTTACAATAAAATTTAAGTAAGATTTTGCTTGATGAAGTAGAACAGTGATTTAAATGACGTAACGTACCTGTTGCCAGGGATGGGATTTGATCTGAGGGAACTTGAACTCGGTATAGTTGGGATTCATTTCCCTTATCTGTTCTCTGGTCGGTGTTCCCAACACTTTGATGATTTCGACAAGCTGATCGACACCCGAGTCGCCTGGAAAGATTGGCTGACCAAGGAGCAGTTCTGCAAGAACGCAACCGGCACTCCACACGTCGATCTTGGTGGTGTAATCGATCGCACCGAAGATAAGTTCAGGGGCGCGATAATAGCGGCTGCAAATGTACGAGACATTCGGCTCGCCTTTGATCAAGTGCTTGGCGCTTCCAAAGTCGCATAACTTCAGGACGCCCGTCTCCGGATCGAGTAGCAAATTTTGCGGCTTGATATCTCGGTGACATATCCCAAGGGAGTGAATGTATGCCAGTGATCGGAATAACTGGTACATGTACAACTAGAAATGAAATTATAATAAATAAATAAATTAACAGAATAGACTTAAATTCAACCATAATAAAAATGCTTGAAATATTCTGTAAGCTTAACTTAACTCAAAAATACTCACTTTAATAAAGCTGATTGGTATGGTTTGTTTAGACTTGCTGTAATGCCTAGCCACCTTGTAGACGGTTTCCGGGATGTATTCTAGCACCAAGTTCAGGTACACCTCGTCCTTCTACAACGTAAACAGTGTGAATTTTACATAGTACAACGAAACCAGATTGTATTAATGACTTTAAATACGCTAATCGTTCCTGTTTTGCGGTGAACTTTACATAGAAAGCGTTCGACAATTTAGGTTACTGAGAAAATAGCGTATGTTTTTAATGCTACATCACTACTCGCCTACACCCAAAACAAGTACATATTCCAAAAAACAAAATTCAAAATACAAGGTGAATGAGTTTGGAATTCCACGGGGAATCGTGATCTGTTTAATGACTTTTCACTTTGTGGTATTTTTTAATCAATTAATTTCTCAATGCGCATATTATAAGAACAATTATTAAATAAAAAGAAATACAACTGCTTTGTCTTGAACTGTTTATAGTTTGTTTAGAATCTGTTTACCCAAATTGATCCAAAATCATATGGTAAAGGTAGCAATTTTGTCGAATTAAGAAAAAAAAAACGTTGAGGATTCAATAGCAGTAACCATGAAAATAGGTGGGATTGTTTTAAAATGAAATTTTCAATAACTGAATGACTTGTGACCTAAAAAGCAAACCTGCAGTAAACACTACCTTTTTCTTTACACATAACGTAATGATAATTTTTAGTTATTAGTTGAAGCAAATCATTGAGATCACGAGATACCATTAAACAAAATCATAACATTGAATAAAAATGATACAACAGTATCAACTAGAATAATAATTTCTCCTTAACTTTCATGATTCTATTTGTTGGCAAATCATTAGGAAAAAAAATCAGTGAGTTACGAGGGTTGTTACTCATTGCAACAAGATTAGTAAAGATGCACTTGAAGACATCACATACATAGAGGTACCTACAAGGGTTTTTATTGTATACAACTACTGTTTATGCAGATTTACATGTAAATAAATGTTTTAATTACATTATTCTGTGCAAAGATTTCGTTAGTGACAATAAAAGTTTACAAATCAATTTAGGTATTATAAGCACGAGAATGTTAGGAATTAGGTTTTAAATACGAAATATTCTGCAATTTGTTATTTTTAATCTTTCGAGTAGCTGTTACGCATAATCAGAACTATTTACCAGTAAAGTAAATAAAATTTTATCAATTATTGTATCGCGCCTACACTTTTAAAATTGTAAACCTTATAAAACTTATTACGTTAGAAAAGTTTCAATGTTGTGAGTAAGTAAAGTGCAATAAACTGATTAAATAAGTAAGTTCCTACGTTTAAAGTGAAAAAAATCCACACAACTTTGTATTTTTAATAAATACATCTAATTTACTATACTGATAAATATAAATGGAAAAAAATAAAATTCGGTCATCTTAACATGCTTCATCAGTGCCATGTCACTCGTCCGCCTTTTTAAATGGTATCGTTTTAAGTAATTCCTTTTTTACTAATTAGTGAAACATATATGCACAAGAAAGTTTTTGTCTACTAGGTTCTCGTATTATATTTAAATGAAATGGAAAGTCGTAAAAACAAAAAGCATGAGTGATCAATGATTTTTGGGTTCTAAATTACGAAAGCTTTCTGGAGAAAATTAATCACGCAATATGCAGAAGCGAGAGCTTCTAGTCTCAAGGACAGGATCATACCTCGTCCTTGGCACCCCACAATACGGGAAAGTCACATGGAACCACGGCATTACGCTAAACATTAAGAAAAAAACACTGGTGTAATTCAAAGAACTCCAAAAAACTAATTTCGAAAAACAATTTTGTTATCTAATATCTACAGCACTTGCAAATTGATCATTCTAACAAAAAATCACATCACGATGCACTGTTATTTAATATACAAATGATAATCCGATATTCGGTTAGGTCAACAACAATAAGTTTGTGGATTGCGAA